ACCTCTTCCTCTTCTTCGCCTCCTCAACGCGCTGTCTTCCCGCGGCCGTCTTCATCAGCTCCTCCTGGATCCGGGCGCGACAACCGATCGAAAGGGCCTGCTGGCGCGCGCCTGTCGCCGAGGGTGCGCGCCCCTTGCAGCCCGGCCACGTGCCGAACTTGTCGATATCTGCACGCATAATGCACAGGGCTTTGGCCACGTCTTTGAGTGCCACAGGGGCCTGCGGAGCTGCAGCGGCGGGCGCCGCAACGGCTGGCACCTCGACGGGCATGGGCGCTGGGCCGCGCGTTCCACGGCGGCCCTTCCAGCTTGGACAACGCCGCGTTGTCCCACCGGTTAGGTCCCGGCTTCCTGCGGATACTCGCCCCCCACGCGACTCCTGCTTCGGCCATGGCCATAACATCGGCATTCCCGCCGCGCGTGCCGACGCAGCTACCGACAGCGACCTTCGACTCGAAGTCTCGCTTGCGACTGCTGGTCTTCGCTGGTCTGAAAAACAAGCGCCCCCCAAACAATGCTGGATGACGTCGCCACCTGTTGCCGTTGGCCCGTTCGCAGGGGGTCTTCCCGTCCTCGCCTACGCGGAATCGAGACATCAAGAAAGCCGCGCGTCATGGTATCCAAGCGAACAGAGGATCTGCGTCCTTCAGCTTCACTTTCAGTTCCTCTTCGGCGGTGCACTTGAAGGCACGGACTGTGCGCTTCAACTCGCGCGCCATGACCTCTATCTCACCATTTGCTTGGCGATCGCCTGCGGGGGCCTCCTGCATGGCGACTTCTACGTCCGTCTGCTGCTCCCAGGATTTGGTCTTCAGGGCAAGTGTGGCCGCTTTTTCATCAGACTTCAAAATGACGCGTTTGCGCTCAGTCTCGCGGATCGCGTCCGCCAGGAATTTGATCGCGAAAGGATCGTCGCCCTTCCTTTCGATCGCCGTGCAAGAAGTTTTGTCTTCTTGTCCGTGACTGCCAACATTGGCACTGTGCCCTCATCAATTTGCCCCGTGGACATGTGTTCCGGCTCCTCAAGAGCTGGCCGGCGAGGGTCGTCTGCTGCCTGGGAAGACGTTTAATGATGACACCAGTTTCGGTGCACCACGTGCCCGGCAACCTCGCGCGCCTGTCTTTCCTTTTCGGTTGGCGCCTCCGGCCCGTTAGGCACGTCGGCGCTCCGTTGTTATTCCCCCACTTCCTCCTTCTCCTCCCCCAGCCATGCCCCCGGGGGTGCCGGCCATTTCCCGGCGACAGGCCCTCGGGCCCAATGCTGTGTTCTAGCGGGTTGATGGGCTCATCCTGCTCAGCGTTTGGCAGTGCGTCTAGGTAGTAGTCGAAAACGAAAGCGCCCTTAAGCTCCTCCTCGCCATGCCTCTTCCTGTTCTTTTCAAACAAAACAAACCGGCGCATTTCGACTGAAAACTTGCTTTTGCGAAGAATTGCGCAACCGCCGTCGCTGCCTAACCGCGCATCGCTGTGCCCGCGCATCCTTGCACCAGAAAACAAAGACTTTGTGAACGTCGGCGACGCGACCCTCCAGGGAACGCGGATTGAGGTTCGCGTCCGCGCCGCGCGCCTTCCCGCCGCCTTCGTCGCTGATCTCCTCAGCGCAAGCTGTCTTGCATTTTCTGACGCCCGGGTCGCTCTTGGGATAGCCTGTCGCGAAATCTTTCGGGCAAGCCGCGACGGCCGCCCCGGCGTCGAAACTCATCTCGCGACGCTTCATCTTCGCGCCATTGCAGCGCAGAGACTCTCCTTTCCACTCGTGCTTCTTTGGGGCACCAGGTCTTAGGCGACGCAGACTCTGCCCCCCCCCCCCCCCCCCCCCTTCCCCCGCGACGAGGGCCCCGATGGAAAGGGCGATGATGGAGTGAGGTGACGGCGATGAAAGATGGTTTTTGCCTGGTTGTTCTCGCGAAGGTACTCCGGAAAGTCTTTAGTCTTTTGCGGCGGCCTCCGGCGCCTCCCTCGCGCCCTGCCTCCGGCAACGCTCGGCGCCCAGCTCGTCCAAGAACAGGTTCCCGCGGTTGTCGCCGCGGCTCCACCTGCAGCTGCCTCACCACTTGCGCCTGCCTCGTTCGAAGCGCTCGCAGAACACTTTGCCTTTGTCGCACTGGTCGCGCGAGAACGGGCAGTTCTCGCGGGGGCACTTGCCGCTGAACCTCTTCGCGTAGCAGGGCTTGGCAGCAGTTGCCTTCGCAAGTTGCCCCCTGTTGTGCGCCCCCCGCGCCTGCGGCCCTGTCCCCCGAAAAGCGGGGGCGTTCAGCGCCGCTGCGCTCTCGGTCCAGCTTCTCCTTAGCATTCTGGTAGAGGGCCTTTTCGGCCTCGTTCGGGCCCCCCTGCCGGAAGGACTGCAGTTCCTTCCTGGAGAGAGCGGCCTGTAGAGCTTGAAGTTCTCCTTCTTCAACGCGGCGCCCGACTTGTCCACCTCGCGGCTGGCGGCGCTTGCCTCCGTCAGGTCGCCGCCGTGCACGCGCGGGGCCCCGTCGACGGCCGCGGCGACGACCTC